AGATGTAAGCCAAGAAATGTAGATGAAGACCAAATATACCTGGCAAATGTATTTTGGTCATCTGAATGACTATATATATATTTTTAATGTCCTTTTTTGAAATCATTTTTATTTTTCAATTAGAGTTGACATACAATATTGCGTTAGTTTCAGATGTACAACATATTGATTAGACAGTTACGTAACTTACAAAGTGATCACCCCAGTAAACCTCATACCCATCTGACACCATACACAGTTATCACAGTATTATTGACTATATTCCCCATGCTGTACCTTACATCCTTGTGACTGTTTTATAACTGGCAATTTTCACACCTTAATCCCTTCCCCTCATCCTTTGAAACCCCTCCCACCTGGCAATCATCAAAATGTTCTCTGAATCTATGAATGGAATGTTTATGTTTGTTCGTTTTGTCTTGTTTTTTAGATTTCACATGTAAGTGAAATCAGATGACATTGGTCCTCCTCTCTCTGACCCATTTCACTATTGAATACCCTCTAGGTCTATTCCTCTTGTTGTAGATGGCAACATTTCATCGTGGCTGAGTAATATTCCATTGCATATATGTACACCTCTTATTTATCCATTCATCCATTTATGAATACTTAGATTGTTTCCATATCTTGGCCATTGTAAACAATACTGCAGTGAATATAGGGATGCACATGCCTTTTTGAATTAGTGTTTTGGATTTCTTTGGACAAATACCCAGAAGTGGAATTGCTGGGTTCTTCTTTTGTCTCCTGTTATAGCCTTTGTTTTAAAGTCTCTTTTGTCTAAGTATTGCTACCCCAGCTTTTTGTTTCCATTTGTATGAAGTATCTTTCCATCCCTTTACTTTCAGTGTGTGTATTTTTCAATCTGAAGTGGGTCCATTCTTCTTTTTTTCTTATATTTTTAAAAATTTTTATTAGTTTAATTTCAACCAAGTGAGGGTACATGCCAAGGAGCAAGAAATCAAATGCTCTAAAATGGTTCTCATGGAGGCAGCATTTGTATGGGTCTTGTTTGTTACCCATTCAGCTACTGTGTGTCTTTAGATTGGAACATTTAATCAATTTACATTTAAAGTAATTATTGGTAGGTATGTAGTTATTGCCATTTTATTATTCATATTTTTTTTCTTTTTCTTGAAAGACGACCTTTTAACATAGCTTATAATACTGGTTTGGTGGTAATGAACTCCTTTAGCTTTTTCTAGTCTGGGAAGCTCTTTGTCCTTTGATTCTAGATAATAGTTTTGCTGGGTAGAGTAATCTGAGTTGTAGTTCCTTGCTTTTCATCACTTTAAAGATGTTGTGTCAATCCCTCTGGCCTGCAAAGTTTCTGTTGAGAAATCAGTCTTATGGGACCTCCCTTGTAAGTAAACAATTGCTTTTCTCTTGCTGCTTTTAAGATTCTCTCTTTGTCTTTAACTCTTGGCATTTTAAATATGATGTATCTTGGTGTGGGCCTCTTTGGCTTTATCTTGTTTGGAACTCTCTGTGCTTCATAAACTTCTATGACCATGTCCTTCACTGGGTGAGGGAAATTTTCTGACATTATTTTCTCAAGCAGGTTTTCAATCCTTTGCTCTCTCTCTTCTCTTTCTGGTACCCCTATGATGTGAATGTTGTTATGCTTGATGTTGTCCCAGAAGCCCCTTAAACTATCTTCACTTTTTAAAATTCTTTTTCTTTTTGAAGTTTTCACTGGGTGTTTTTGGCTGCCTTGTCTTCAAAAATTTCTGATTCAGCCCTGGCTGGTGTAGCTCAGTGGATTGATCGTGGGCCTGTGAACCAGACAATTGTGGTTCGATTACCAGTCAGGGCACATGCCTGGGTTGCAGGCCGGTTCCCAGCAGGGGACAAAAGGCAACCGTACATTGATGTTTCTCTCCCTCTCTCCTTCCCCTCCCCTCTAAAGATAAATAAATAAAATCTAAAAAAAAAATTCTGATTCAATCCTCTGCTTCATCTAATCTGCTGTTGACTTTATCTAAGATTTCTTCATTTCAGTTATATTTTTCATTTCTGACTGGTTCCATTTTATGTTTTTTTAATCTCCATTTTATGTTTTCTACCTCTATTAAAGTTCTCATTTGAGTTCATCTAGTCTCCCCTTAAGTTCACTGAGCGTTCTTATAACCAGTGTTTTGAACTCTCATCTTGTATTTTCATTTTATTTAGTTCTTCTGCAGTTTTGTTCTACTTTTTTCAGTTGGAACATGTTTCTTTGCCTGCTCATTCTGGCTACCTTCCTGTGTTTATTTCTATGTATTAGATAGAGCTGCTACATCTCCCTGTCTCAGTAGAGTGACCTTAATGTAACAGGTGTCCTTGGGACCCCAGTCTCCCTAGTCACCTTTTTATCTTTCAATGGCATGTCCCCAGCAGGTCCTCAGGAAACCAGGTTCCTGTCAGTGCTGACACAGCCCCAGATTGTCCCAAAGCCACAGCATTTTTCCCCTCTGACACCTTAAGAACACCAACCTCCTTCAGCATGCAGGAGAAGCCAAGTTTATGGGAAGAATTTCTATTTCCTATCAATCACATATCACAAGAGTAAAAGGCAAGTTATTAATGCATCCTGGAAGATACTTTGCATCCCTCAGCTAGTGCCCAAGGATCCAAACATAATGAGTGAGCTTTAACAGGCCTCAAACCCCCCAGTGACAAGAGACAAACATGAGCCAGAGCAAGATGGAGATCAGATGAGACTTCTGCACAAAGGTAGGACCCCTAAAACACTAACCCCTCAGATAGTGAGCTAGAAGGAAAAGTAGAGGAGGTGGTGGGGTTGAAAGAATGAAAAATACCTCCCAAGAGCATCCTAACCACTCATAACACTCTCAAGGGTTTAGACCAGAATTCACAGTGCTATGAGGCTTAGAAAATACAAAGCCAACAATGTCATTTAATGCGACCCCCTAATGGATAGCACACCTGACCTAGCAGATGTAGACACAGATCTCCTCTGGAGAAAGGCACTTAGATCTAGGCCTCACAGGATTCCCACAGATTATGTTCCAAGTAATGAAACAACAATTTAAAAAATCATCAAGTACAGCCCTGGCTGGTGTGGCTCAGTGGATTGAGTGATGGCCTGTGAACCAAAGGGTCACCAGTTCGATTCCCAGTTGGGGCACATGCACAGGTCGCAGGCCAGGTTCCCAACAAGGGGCACATGGGAGGCAGCCACACATTCATGTCTCTCTCCTTCTCTTTCTCCCTCCCTTCTCCTCTCTAAAATAAATAGATAAAATCTTTTTAAAAATTAAACATAAAAAAAGCATCAAGTACAATAAAACAAGTGCTCGTGGGCAAGAGAACAGCAGAAACAATTAAGTGCAGAATTAGACCCTCCACAACTGCTGACATTCGAATCATCTGACACAGATTACAAAATAATGTTGGAGGAAGTAAAAGAAGACAGTGGTGGTACGAAAGAGAAGCACGTAAAAGTGACCAGATGGGGGAAAACCACAAGTGGAAATTCTAGCAATGTAAAATATAAAAATTAAAATGAAAAAGTAAGTGGATAAAGTAAACGACAAATTGGATATAGCTGGAGATAAAAATTAGTGGGCAGACTAAAGATAGGTCCAAATATATTATTAGAATGCAACATGAAAACACAGAAATGGGAAATATGAAGGAAAAAATTCAGAAATAAAAGAGTAAGAATGTCTGCCATGTCTAATAATATGACTTAAGAAAGAGAGATTGTGAAACTGGGAAAGAAGCAGTATTTGAAGAGACAATGACTAAGAATTTCCCAGTTTTGATTCAAGGAAGCCCAATAAATTTGAAGCATAATAAATGAAAAGAAGTCCATGCCCTGGCTGGTGTAGCTCAGTGGATTGAGCGCGGGCCTGTGAACCACACGATCGCGGTTCGATTCCCAGTCAGGGCACATGCCTGGGTTGCAGGCCAGTTCTCAGCAGGGGACTCACAAGAGGCAACCATACATTGATATTTCTCTTCCTCTCTCCTTCCCTTTCTCTCTAAAAATAAACAAATAAAACTAAAAAAGGAAGTCTACAGTTAGAAGCCTTCTAGTGAAACTGTAAATGCCAAAGACAAAAAGATGTTAATAGACAAAATGAAAAGCCAGTATAAACAGCTAACCTCTCAATGGAACTCAGAAGACAATGCAATGTCACCTTTGCACTGTGCACGTTTGCACTTCATGTTTGCATTGTGAAGGAGAAACAATGTCAACCTAAAGTTACGTACTCAGATAAATTATTTTCAGGAACACTAGCAAAATAACATTTTCAGACAGAATAAAAGTACAGAAAGAAGTAAAGTCTGTGGGGCAAAAGGGAACGATGAGGAAAAAGGAGTAAGGATGTAGGTAAATCAAAACAAATATTGAGCTTACAAAACAATGGCAACAATGTCTCATTCATGAGATTTAAAATACCAATGTGTAGGGATTCCAGTTCTGGTTGAGTAAACACACCCCACCCCACCTCCTCTAGGACTGCAACTGAAACCCTGGACAGAACACGGAAAGAAACTATTGGAAGACTCAGAAAAGTAAATAATAGAAGACAGATTGGAAAGAGATGTCAAAACTCAAGGGAAAATATGGCAGTGAGTTTACCATTTTGTTTTGTTTAGTTTTTATCCTCCCCTATCTCCCAGCTGAGGCTCAGTCAGAACAGCCTGAATCCCAGAAGAGCATAGCAGGCACAGCGGGAAGAGCTCCAAGAGAAATTCTCCCTGTCAGAGGACTAGGACAGAGCGAGTAGGGGGCAACCTTAGTTTCACCTCTAACCCCATCCAACCTTGCCCGAAGCAAGTCCCTCTCCCAAAGATGCCCTCTTGTCACAGCAGTGGCAATATAGCAGCATCAGCAACATACATGACCACAGTGACAGAGAAACTAGAAGAAAAAAATCCTTTTGCCAGACCACAAAAACTGACAATGGCAGCCCCTATGGTTGAAAAAGAGTAGGGGAAGTCCCCCTGCTTTTTACTCACTGTTTCCTCCCACTGCTTCCCCCCAGCTGGAAGATGCAGTTACAGGAAGTGTATGACAAGAAGTGCCTGAGAAAACTGAAACACTGGCTTTCTCTGTTTAAGAGGAGAAAGCTTGAGAAAGGGATTCCATAGCTGCATACGAAGTCCCAGGCCCACCTCCGAGATACCACGGAAGCGATCAGTAAACCCGTACCAAAGACTTAGAGAATGAAACTGTGGTGTAGATTTCCCACCGTAGTCTCAGAATGGCCTGGGGGCAGGGAGCGGGAAGAGAGGAGGAAAGGAAGGGGGTGGAATATATACAGGACAAATCCAAACAAATATTTGAAAATGCAAATGGCATTGGAACCACAGCCCACAGAGGCCATGCTGGGACTTGTGATCTGAACTTAGTTAGCTCAATTGTCTACCAAAACAGAAATCAATGTTCTTTAAAGGATTTTAACAGGACCCAGCATCTCAGAAAAATACATAAAATATCCTGGATGTTACCAAAATTACTTGACATACAAGAAATAGGAAAATCTCAATAACTCACATGCAAAAGACACAAATGTTGGAATTATTAGTCAAAAACTTTAACATTCTGCTCCATGAAATTAAAAGTGAACAGTCTTTTTTAAAAAGACTGCATTTATTTATTTTTAAAGAGAAGGAAAGGGAGGGAGACAGAGAGGGAGAGAAACATCAATGTGCAAGAGTTACATCAATCCATTGCTTTTCACATGCTCCCAGCTGGAGACCTGGCCCACAACCCAGGCATGTGCCCTGACTGGGAATCAAACCAGTGACCCTTTGGTTCACAGGCCAGCACTCAATCCACTGAGCTACACCAGCCAGGCATAAAAATAATGAACAGAGCTTTAAAGACCCATGGGACAACATGAAAAGGTTTAACATATGTATCTTTGAAATTCTGGAAGAAGAGATAGAGATCAACGCAAAAAGAAATATTTGAGCAAACAATGGCTGAAAACTTCTCAGTGTGAGGGAAGATATAAGTTGAGAGATTTAAGAAGCTCATGCAACCCCAGACAGGAGATAGTCAAAGAAAACCATGTCCAGACACATCATAAACTAAAGATAAATAAATGAAGCTCAAAAGCAGCCAAAAAAATAACAAAGCGGGGGAACAATATATATACATGACTGCAGGTTTTTCATCATAAAATGTAGAGGCAGAAAGATAGCAGAAATACATTTTTCCCCATTTTCCTTTTCAAAAAAAATTTTTATTCAATTTATTGGGCTGACGCTGATCAATAAAATTACATAGGTTTCAAGAGTACAATTCTATAATAATACATCATCTCTACATTGCATTGTGTGTTTACCAAAATCAAATCCTCTTGTTATCATATGTTTGATCCCCTTTACCCCTCACTACCTTCCCCACCCCTTTCCCTCTGGTAACCCCCATATTGTTGTCTGTGTTTATGAGTTTTTGTTTGTTCAGTTGCTTTTCAACTGAACATTTTTGTTGCTTTCAGTTTTATATCCCACATATGAGTAAAATCATATGGTTCTTGACTAACTTATTTCACTTATCATAATATTCTCGAGATCCATCCATATTGTTGCGAATAGTAGTATTTCATCTTTTCTTGTGGCCGAACAGTATTCCACTGTGTATATGTACCACATCTTCTTTATCCAATCATCTATCAAAGAACACTTTGGTTATTTTCATGTCTTGGCCACTGTGAATTATGCTGCAATGAACACAGGTGTGTTTATTTGTACAAATAAATGTTTTCAAATTTTTCAAATAGATAACCAAAAGAGGGGCTGCTGGGTCATATGGTCAAAACTACATGTTTAAAGTGCTGAAAGACAAGAACTGTCAACCCAGAATTCTGTGTCCGGTGAAAATATCCTTCAGTAATAAGGATATTTTCAAATGTTTCCGTAGTGTCCTCACCTGACATTGATATGCAGGCAATTCTGGCCTCATGAAATGAGTTTGGAAGTGTTCCCTGTACAATTTCTTGATAGAGTTTGGGAAGGATCGGCATTAATTCTTGAAATGTTTGGTAGTTTCAATGAAACCCTCTCATCCTAGGAGCATTTCTTCGTTGGTAGATTTGTGGTTATTCACCCAATTTCCTTATTTATTATGGGTCTGGTCAATTTTTCTATTTCTTTATGACTTGCCATTTGTAGATTAAATGTTTCTGGGAATTTATTTCTTCTTGGATTATACAATTTGTTGGTGTATGATTTTTAATAATCTCATTATTTTGTATTTCAGTGGTATCAGTGTAATTTGTCCTCTTTCAATTATAATTCAATTTTTAAATAATTTTTCAGTTTTATAATTGATATTCAGCACTGTATGAGCTTTTTTCTTTTAAATATTTTATTGTTTATGCTATTACAGTTGTCCCAAATTCTCCCCTTTGCCCCCCTTCAGTCAGCCCCCTCCCCATTCTCAGTCAGTTCTCTCATGGTTGTCCATGTCCATGCATATACGTATGTTCTTTGACTATTCCCTTCAGCTTCTTTCAACCAGTCCCCACCTCCCCCATCTCCTCTTACAATTGTCAGTGTGTTTCATGTTTCTGTGCCTTTAATTCTATTTTGGTTGTTAGTTTATTTTGTTCATTAGATTCTGCTTATAAGTTAGATCATATGGTATTTGTCTTTCATTGACTGGATTATTTCACTTAGCCTAATAGTCTCCAGTTCCATCCATGGTGTTGTAAAAGGTATGAATTCCTTCTTTTTCACTGCTGCATTGTATTGCATTGTGTAAATGTACAATAGCTTTTTTAATCCACTCATCTACTGACGGGCACTTAGGCTGCTTCCAGATTTTGGCTATTGTAAATAATGCTGCTATAAGGGTACATATATTCTTTTGAATTGATGTTGTGAGATTCTTAGAATACATTCACAAAAGTGGAATTGCTGGGTTAAAAGGTATTTTTAATTTTTTGAGGAAACCCCATACTGTTTTTTAGAGTGATTGCACTAGTCCACATTCCCACCAACTGTGCACTAGGGTTCCCTTTTCTCCACATTCTTGCCAGCACTTCTTGTTTGTTAATTTATTAATAATAGCCATTTTGGCTGGTGTGAGGTAATAATATCATTGTGATTTTAATTTACATCTCTCTGACGGCTAGTGATGTTGAGCATTTTTTCATATGTCTGTGGGCCCTCTGTATGTCCTCCTTGGAGAAGTGTCTGTTCTCCTTTGCCCATTTTTTAATTGTATTGTGTGTCTCCCTGGTGTTGAGTTGTATGAGTTCTTAAATATTTGGGGGATTAAACCCTTTCTAATGTATCACTGGCAAATGTGTTCTCCCATACAGTGGGTTCCCTTTTCATATTTTTAGAGAGAGGGTCGTGGAGGGAGAAAGAGAAGGAGGAAAACATCCACATGCAAGATAAACATTGATTGGTCCCTCTCTCACACCCCCAAGTGGGAACCTGACCAGCAATCCAGGCATGTGCCTTGACAGGGAACCTAACTGGTGACTTTTTGGTCTGCAGAGCAATGCCCAACCTACTGAGCCACACCAGTCAGTGCTCCCTTTTCATTTTGGTTTCCTTAGCTGTGCAGAAGCTTTTTAATTTGATTAGTCTCATGTGTTTATTTTTTCCTCTGTTTCCCTTGCCCTGGGAGCTATATCAGCAAAAATATTGCTATGTGAGATATGTGAAATTTTACTGCCTATGTTTTCCTCTAGGATGTTTATGTTATCACAACTTGTATTTAAGTCTCGTATCCATTTTGAGTATAATCTGGTATGTGGTATAAGTTGGTGGTCTAGTTTCATTTTCTTGCAAATACTAGCCCAGTTCTCCTACCAGCATTTATTGAAGAGACTATCTTCACTCCATTGTATACTCTTGCTTCCTTTGTCAAATATTAATTGACCATAAAGGTGTGGGTTTCTTTCTAGGCTCTCTATTCTGTTTCATTGATCTATATGTCTGTTCTTATGCCAGTTCCAAACTGTTTTGATTACAGTGGCTTTGTAGTATAGTTTGATATCAGGTATTGTGATCCCACCAACTTTGTTCTTCTTTCTCAAGATTGCTGAGAGGTCTTTCTTGGTTCCATATAAATTTTTGGAATATTTGTTCTAGATCTGTGAAATCTGCCATTGGTATTTTAGTAGGAATTGTGTTGAATCTATAGATTGCTTTGGGTGGTATGGACATTTTAATGTAATTCTTCCAATCCATGTACACTGTATATGCTTTCACTTATTTCCACTTATTTGTACCTTCCTCACTTTTTTTCTTCAGTGTCCTATAGTTTTCCAAGTACAGGTCTTTCACCTCCTTGGTTAGATTTATTCCTAAGTAACTTATTTTTTGTTGTTGCAATAGTAAATCAAATTGTTTTCTTAGTTTCTCTTTTTAACAATTTATTATTGGTGTATAAAAATGCCATCGATTTCTGAGTATTGATTTTGCATCCTGCTACTTTGCCAAAGTCATTATTTTAGGTCTAGTAGTTTTTTTGGTGGAGCCTATTGGGTTTTCTACATCATCTGTGAATAATGACAGTTTTACTTCCTCCTTTCTAATGTGGTTGCCTTTTATTTCTTCTTCTTGTCTGATAGCTGTGACTAGAACTCCCAGTACTGTTGAATAAGAGTGGTGAAAGTGGACATTCCTGTCTTATTCCTGGTTTTAAGGAAATTGCTTTTGAATTTTTCCCATTGAGTATGATGTTGGCTGTGCGTTTTTCATATATGGGCTTTGTTATGTTATGATCCACCTATTTCCACTTTGTTGAGAGTTTTTATCATAAATGGGTAGTGGCTTTTATCAAATGTTTTTTCTGCATCTATTGATATGATCACATGGTTTTTAACTTTCATTTTGTTTATGTGATGGATCACATTTATTGATTCATAAGTATTGTACCAAACTTGCATCCCCAGGAATAAATCCTTCTTGATCATGGTATATGATCTTTTTTATGTATTGCTGGATCTGGTTTGCTAATATTTTGTTGAGAATTTTAGCATCTATGGTCATCAGGGACATTGGCCTATAGTTTTCTTTCTGTGTTGTGTCTTTAAGCACAAGTTTAATGTGTACTGCATAGTGATTTGACTTACATATATCATGAAATGATTGCCATGATAACTTCAGTTAACATCCATTATCTCATATTTTTTAAAAGAATATTCTCAAATGCAGGAAAGCTAAATGGATTCACAGCTGGCACACCTAATCCCCTGCCAAAAAAAATGCTAAAAAAAAAGTTCCTCACTGGGAAGAGAATGACACTGCAGGAAAACTTGGAATTTCAGAAATGCAGCATGAGCCACAGAAATAGTAATAATCCAGATGAATTTTAGATATTCTTTTTCTCTTAAAATTATTTAAAATATATATGACTGTTGATATAACATTATCTTGTGGGATTTTCCGTGACTGTAGATTTAACACATATAACAATTACAACATAAAAGGGAGAGGCTAGAGGGATCTATGTGGCTTTAAATTTTCTTCAGTTCACTTGAAGTGCTAAAATAGTCATTCAAATGAAACTGTTGAAAAGTAAACATACATACAATAATCCCTATAACAACCACTAAAAAACTATGCAAATTTGCCTTAATAAAGTGCTGTTGTGGCAACGGAAAATCCACTGGCAAAAGAAAAACGTTTTTGTTTGGGGTGATGAAAAGATTTTGTAAATAGATTGTGGTGACGGTTGTGCAATATTGTGAATGTAAATAATGACACTGAATTGTATACCCCCCAAAAGTTAAAATAGGAACTTGTTATGCATATTTTACCACGTTTTAAAAACTAGTAATGTAATATACCAAAAAACATTAAATTGTATACTTCAAATGAGTGGATTGTGTGGCATGTGAATTATATCTAAGGAATAATTTTTTTAAGTAGGACCAAAAAATCTTAACTACATATACTTGAAAATAAAGAGACACACAAATAACTCTTGAATCAAAAAGAAATTAAAAGAGAAATAATAAACCACTTGACAAGAAGGAAAACACATTATACCAAAACCCTGGGATGCAATGAAAGCCGTATGCAGAGAAAAATGTCCTGCCTTAAAGGCATTTGTTATTAAAGAAGAAAGATGAAAAATGAAATAAATAAAGGATGGACAATAAAGTGGAAGATTTGGCAGAGACTGTTAGGTGTTCCTCAAAACCTAGATCTTTTTTTACCACATACACAGAAGTGTGAATGTTATGGAAATTATTTCATGTATTTTTTATCATTTTTAACAGAACATTATAGAGCTAAAAAATGTTGAAAAATTGAAAAGGCAGTCTTATTAAAAGTTGCAATACTAAGCTTAAATATTTTATTTGTACCAAAACCAGAATTTATTACCATTTTATCTTTCTGGCTTTAAAAAAGCAAACTCTCCATGACCAGTGTGGCTCAGTTGGTTGGGCGTCATCCCACAAAACAGAAAGTCAGTTCCATTCTCCGTCATGGCACAGGTTTGGGTTACAGGTTTGATACCTGGTCACATCAATGTTTCTCTCCCTCTCTTTCTCCCTGCCTTCCCCTCTCTCTAAAAATAAATAAATAAAATCCTTTTAAAAAAAGTCAGTATCTCAAGTGTCCTGCTTTAAAAAAACAAGGCAGAATGGATCCAAGATGGCAGCAGAGTAGCTGGCAGCTCCATTTATCTGTTCTCAGACTCAGATGGACCAGATTTGCAGTCAGAACACAGAGCAGACAGGGAGTGAAAGCGTCTGTAAGTAGGCTGTCGAGAGCATGGGAAGTGCACAAAATATGTCAGAACTGGCACTGATGGCTGCACAGAGTCAGGGCAGGTATAGATCAGCTCAGGACCTGCAAGCAACAGGGCCGGCAAGAGAAGGCCTGGGAGGTGTGAGCTCTAGAAACAGCACAGAGGGAGCAGGCCTGCCTGAGGCTGAAGATCTCAGGAGGAAGTGGGCTCAGCACACCACCACTGCTCTGTGTTACAGTGTAACTTCAAGGCTCTTCCCAACACCAACTGGGAAAGATGTAGAGAGAAACTATCTAAAACTGTCAAAGGCTCTGAAAGAGGCCGTGAGTCCTCACCATGAAAGACTGTTTTGGGTGGGGGAGTGTGTGCAGAACAGGACCCCCAGGGACCAATACTACAGCATGAGGACCATATAGAAACTCTATTGAAAGGGGAGCTGAGGTGAGATCTGAGGCTCAGCAGGGCTCCGGAACTTGCATGCCTGTGCAAGGGCAGGTCACAGTGGTTTTGCTAACCAAAAACTCAGAAGCAGAGAATACACTGAAGGAACCCCAGTGTGGTTCGTGGACAGAGGGTAGCTCAGAGTGGAGAATTACAGCTGACCCTCCTGTGAGAGAGCACCAAGCTCAGGTCTGGAAGGCAGGAGCTGAATGCCTATAGTCAGCCAAATCCTTTCACAGACAGGTGAACCCAATCTCCACCTGCAGGGTTACAGGTTCAGTAGAGCTGAGAGGTCAGGCTCAGGAGTTTCCCGCTGCATACATTTCCTCAGGGAAAAGAGGAAAAAACGCTGATAAGGCCCTTTGCCAGACACTACTACATGCAATACAGCTCCTCGCCCTGATCTGCTAAACCCAGCAGAGCAAATAGAGACAGGTGCAACAAGACGCTATCTTCTCTCCTACATAGCTGTTTAACATTCATTTCATATCCTTCAAGTTTGAGCATAATATGGCACCAAGTTTTATAATATATTTTATTTTGAATCTCATATATTACTCTTCCCTTCTCTTGCTCCATATTACCTCCTGCCTCCCTCTTTGTTTTAAACTCTTTATTTTCTCTCTTGCTATGATTTGATCCTATCCTACACTCTTACTATTGCTCACCTCTCCAGCCTCTCAAAACCATTTGCTATTGTCATTAGTCACCTCACATTCCTTTTCTCATCCTTAAAATACCCTTACTCTCTTTCCACCTTTATCAATCTTTGCTTGTATGTGTGGATAAGTAGGTTATTGTTACAGTGCTTCAATCTTATTTCTAGAGTCACTATCTTTTTATTTCAAATCTCAAATTTCACCATTCCTCTCTCCTACTCCATTTTGTCTTCCTCCTGCCTTTTTCTTTTTTCATCTTAAACATTAATCTTGCCCTGTCTCAGCTGGGTTTTCACTCCACACTCTTATCCTCCCTCTACCCTCTCAAAAAACTTATCTTTCCTCTAGACACCTCTTAAGCTCTTCTTTCTTTCCCATTTCCCTCTTATTCCCATCCCACCCATATAAATCTTAGCTCATTGGTTGTTGATAGTGCTATAGGTGAGCTTTTCCTACAATTAGGTGCATATTATTTGATTTTTTCTTGTTATGGTTGTCTGTTTTTCCACCAAAAAACTACTTGACCTAATAAGTGAATTTGGCAAAACAGTGGAATAGAAAGTCAATATTCAGAAATTCAGGACGAGCACCGGGCGGCTGAGGTCCAGCGGAGGCTGAGCCGGCCGCGGGCATGACCGGAGGCAGTAATTGCTATTCTGCTTTTATGACTTGGAGATACTGGCTTCGGTTCTCTAGATTCTTCAGCAATCCTGGAGACACAGTACATATGAAGTATTTAAGTGAATTAAGGTCAGCGCATTCACTTTAAAAATTAGACGGACTTCCGCCAAGATGGAAACGTAGGTGGAGGAACCACCTTGCCTCTGTGCACAACCAAATCTAAGAACAACTATTTTTAACAGCAGTCACAACCAAGCCACACGGAACATCGACAATACGGAGTCCAAAGGACTAGATACTCAGCTGGACCGGTACGAGGAGCGAAGCCAGCAGCAGAGCAGGTTAGCAAGAAAAAATTCCCGGGTGGTGCGTGGTGCACGCGCAAGCAGCCGAAGGCGCTGATCGCGAGCGAGCTAGCTACGGGAGCGCACAGGGAAGAGGCGCGGTGGGTCAGTCGGTCGGCATTTACATGCGGAGAAACCAGTGAGAAGGGAAGCCTGCGCGGGGCAGCAGCCTCGCACAATTCCGATCGGATAAACAAGCCCGAGGCGTGTGGTGTGACTGGACGGGCTGGGCTAGCGGAGAGGACCGCCATTGCTCCCTCTCTGACCACGCCCCCACACACAGCGTCACAAACCAGCGACCTGGGTCGCCCCGTCCTCGTAAACAACTAAGGCTTCGCTCTGCTTACTTAACAGTACGAATAGACCAAAAATGGCTCTAGGACAACTCAGAGCCCCAGAACCGATAGATCTAAGCGATGAAGAAATAGCCAGTCTTTCAGATGCACAGTTCAAAACACTGGTTATAAGGATCCTTACAGAACTAGTTGATTTTAGTCACAAATTAGAGAAACATATGGAAGCTAAACTAATTGAAATGAATGGTAATACAAAGGAAACCAATAGTAATGGAAAGAAAATTGGGACTCAAATCAAGGGAGTGGACCAGAAGGAAGAAAAAAATGATCAAACAGAAAAGAATGAACAAATAAGAATTCAGAAAAATGAGGAGAAGCTTAGGAACCTCCAGGACATCTTTAAACGTTCCAACATCCGAATTATAGGGGTACCAGAAGGGGGAAAGGCACAGCCACCAGTGGAAAACTTATTTGAACAAATAATGAGAATTTCCCCAAGCTGGCAAAGGAAATAGACTTCCAGGAAATCCAGGAAGCTCAGAGAGTCCCAAAGAAGTTGGACCCAAGAAGGAACACATCAAGGCACATCATCATTACATTAGCCAAGATTAAAATGAAGGAGAGAATCCTAGAAGCAGCAAGAGATAAGGGGACAGTCACCTACAAAGGAGTTCCCATCAGACTGTCAGCAGATTTCTCAAAAGAGACCTTACAGGCAAGAAGGGGCTGGAAAGAGGTATTCCAAGTCATGAAAACCAAAGATCTACAACCAAGATTGCTCTACCCAGCAAAGTTTTCATTTAGAATGGAAGGACAGATAAAGTGCTTCTCAGATAAGACCAAATTCAAGGAGTTCATCATCACCAAGCCCTTATTATATGAAATGTTAAAGGGACTTACCTAAGAAAAAGAAGATAAAAAAGATGAACAGTGAAAGGACAGCAAACTTACAGTTATTAAGAACCATACCTAAAACAAAAGCAAACTAAGAGGACAGCTAGATCAGGAGCAGAACCATAGAAATGAAGATCTCATGGAGGGTTAGCAACAGGGGAGTGGGAGGAGGGGAAGGGGGGAGAAGGTACAGAAAATAAGTAGCATAGACAGTAGATAGAAAATAGATGGGGGGAGGGTAAGAATAGTAGGGGGAAATACAGAATCTAAAGAATTTGAGACACGTGTTCATGAACTAAAGGGGGAAATGGTGGGGGAAGGGTATGCAGGGTGGAGGGGAATGGAGGGGGGGAATAGAGCAAATGTAATGGCATAATCAATAAAAAAAGCTAAAAAAAAAGAAATTGAAGGCATTTTTTGAACACCAATAATGAAATATCAGAAACAGAAACTAGGAACAAATTTTATTTAATATAGCGACAAGAAAAGTAACGTACCTAGTGTTAGGGTAGGCAGAGTAGGGTAAAATGGTGGCTGAACTACAACCTGGAAAAGGTGGCTGATGTCAAACAAGGGAGCCGAAAGGGCAGGTTTTATCCACATGGCAACCTGAGCCTGAGGAGAACCACCAATGATATATTGCCACTTTTTTTCATAGGGGACCAATCCCCAGCTCCCACAAAGTGAGCCAACCAAAATAAAACCCCACCACATTCCCTGCTTGGGCATGACTTTCCCGGCCCCACTCTGTGGGCCGGGGAACCTCGCCCAGGCACACAAACCCCAGTAAAGCTCTATACTGCCTAACTTTGTGGTTGATTGACAGTTCTTCCTCGGCGGAGCCTAAGAAAACCTTTCACCTAGGAATAAATCTAACCAAGGAGGTAAAATACTTGTATTCAGAAAACTCTACAACACTGAAGAAAGAAATTAAGAAAGACACACAAAAAAGTGGAAGCATGTACTTCCATTTGTGTTAATGGATTAGACTTAACATCATTAAAATGTCCATACTATCCAAAGCAATCTATAGATTCAATGCAATTCCTGTTAAAATACCAATGCTGTATTTAACAGATCTAGAACAAATATTTCAAAAATTTATATGGAATCATAAATGACCCCAAATAGCCTCAGCAGTATTGAGAAAGAATAATAAAGTAGAACTGATCACAATACCTGTTATCAAACTATATTACAAGGCCACTATAATCAAAACAGTTTTGAACTGGCTTAAAAGCAGACACATAGAGGAGTAAAAGACAGAAAACTGTACTTGAGCAACAATTAAAATTTTTAAAAATTAAAAAAGAATCAAATGATGAATCAATGAATGCATAAATAAATAAGTGAAATGAAAAAATTTACAATGAAAAAAACCAGACACATAGATCAGTGGAACAGAATAGAGAGCCCA